GTTGCACGTTGGGCGGATCACCTTCGACGTACGCAGCAGCATTTGGAGCAGTATACGCAACGTTTGGTGGCGGCCAATGCGCTCTGTGAGGTTTCGGTACAGCAGTGTTCACATGCAGCGAAGATCTCGGCGGAGGCGCACGCATTTTTGAAGAAGATCGGCACGCATCGACGTATTCTACTGACGGTCACTGCGCGGGCGCGATCCTTTTTTTCCATGGGCGTTGTTTTCTTGTGCCATCAGGAGCTCCTCAGTACAATTGACTACATGCGGCTGGAAGCGGCGCGGCAGGAAGCCCACGACACACGATGCAAACAGAAGGCATGGAAGAAGTGGGTGCGTGACGCCTTTCAAAACGGAGCGGGCATCGCGCACCGATGCACGAAGTTGCCAGGGCCCGTGGATAAGCCATTGTGTACGCGAGTCCGCATGGAGTGGCCGATCGAGAGCTTCACAAGTGGTCCAAAGTATGGCGGCAGCACGAAGCACCAAGGTTACAATTGCCGCAGGAGGCAGGGCAGTGGGCAGCGCTGCCAGCGGTCACAGGGAAGCAGTTGCGCCGGGCAGCCTTTACCTTTCCAGCCACCACTTCGGTGGGACAAACAGGGATTGCGCCACGGGCATTGGGACAGGTTTCTGATATCGGGCTTGACACCGTCGCTGCCTTGTACATGCGCTGCGAGGCTTTGGGGTATTGGCCGACTCAACGTATACTTAATATCCTGGTACGTTTGGGCAAACCAGATGGAGGCAGCCGTCTAATATGCTTGGTCAACACGTTGGTCAGGCTATGGTCACGATCGCGGGTAGCAGTTGCCAGAGATTGGATGGATCGAGCGGATATTGCCGACATATGGGGCACAGGAGGACCAGGGCGCTCATCTACGGCATCCGCATTCGACCACAATTTGCATGCAGAAGTGGCTCATCTGCTGTCGGAGCATTATGTTACCACGCTGCTCGACGCATGGAAGGCGTTCGAGTCGGTATTACCTGCAGCGTTGCTGCGACAAAGCGAGGAGGTTGGGTTCCCGACACGGCTTACGTGGATGGTACTACAATATCATCTGCAACCGCGAGCCATCCAGTGCTGTGGGTCCCTGTCAACCTTCTTTGTTTCGAATCAGGGCATTCTTGCCGGATGCAGCCAGTCCACGTACATGCTCACGGTGCTCACGATGAAGGCCATTCGACAGCTGTCGCCGGCAACAGTGATTTTCCAGAGCCCTGGTCGACGATGTGTCAGTACAATGGGTTGGAAGCCACCTGGGACAGCTTCGGAGCTACTGGAAGGCGGTGCGCGGATTCATCACGGATGTAAAGGCGCTCGGGTTGGTGATGCAGCCGAGCAAGTCAGGTTTCGTGGCTACCAGTACTGCTGCTATCAGAGCGTCCAGGTCGGCTGCGGCTTACTGCAGTATACCGTCGCAGGCTCACATGCGTAACTTGGGGCGCGAACTGCACGGACGGGTGATACGTAGAGGAGTAGCGGTGAAGAGGCATCTGGTATTACAGCAACGAATGAAGCGAGTTATGCGGTTCAGATGTAGTGCTGGGACACAGATCACTAAGCTCTGGCGCACAGGGCAATTACCCTCTACCGGCCATGGCGCGGCGGTCAGCGGCATTTCGGATACGGATCTGAAGGCGCTACGGCAGTCAGCGGCATTACTGACTGGAAATCCTGGGCGCGGGGGCAGCAGCACACTATACCTGGCCGCCCAGACGGACTCATGGTACGACCCCATTTTCGAGAGTACCACAGCTCCGTTGTTTGCGTATCACAGAGTGGTATTGGAGCAGCTCTATAGCTTGGGACGAATGGAAAGGGCCTATCAAGTACTACAAGCTGGCACGGTTACATGGCGACAGGCAAGGGGCGCACTGGCAGTGTTGTTGTTGTCGCTGGGCCGAGTCGGATGGAAGCTACTATTGGCCACGATGGTGCAGGACGACCCCGGAAGGACGTGGTCGATGCTACGGGTTGATCCCTGTTTGCTACGGGACATCGTGCGGGCAGGCATACAACGGTGGCAGATGCGACGGATACAGGAGCACCATGCCGACCAACCAGGAGTACCTATGGGCACGCGGCATCAGGGCATGCATCGGTTCCAAGACAGCTGCATTGCAAAATCCTAAGATGACAGGGGCGTTGCGTCAATTATGGTCAGGATCATTGTGGACCAAAGTCAAGTTGCACATGTTCGGCATGGCGGAGAATGAATTGCGTCGCGGATGTGGCGAGGAACCAGAATATACAGGGCATGCATGGTATAAGTGCCCTGCAACTAATCAGCGTTTGCGCGAGAAAGAGAAGGAGCACCCGATGCCCGAGGAATTGGTCAAATATAGGGATGCGATCCTGCAGGCAGGCACGATACGGGCACCATTGGTGACGGACGACTGCTACGACCTCAGCGTGGGCATGCCACTGATCCCAGGGCAGTATGAGACGCACGTGACGGATCCCAAGGTATTCTTCTGGGGCGACTGGAAAAGCGACCCCACGACATGGCCGGCGTGGGTTTTCACGGACGGCTCGGCGATACCGTCGAGAATGCCTGAGTTGCGCAGGTGCGGTTGGGCTGTCATACAGATGTCACCGTATGGGTACCCTGCGAGAGCGGTATACGGCGGACCCCCTGGGCCACAACAGACGATAGGGGCGGCAGAAAGATATTGTGTGCTCCAAGCGCAGCGGTACTACCCACGGGCGACGCAGCTGGTCACGGATTTGGCAGGACTTGTCGACGAAGGTATACGGTGGTCAGAGAAGGATTCGCAGTCACAAGCACGACATGCGAGCTGGTGGAGGCGCATGCGTGAGCATTGGCGCAGGTCTGGCCGAACTCCCTTGCGATTCCATTGGTGCCCCTCACATCAAGATCATGAGAAGGTGGCTTGCGATCCTGGCTCACAGCTCAAATTGGACTGGGTGCTGGGCAATGCGTGGGCGGACTACTTCGCGAAGGAAGGCGCACGATCGGTTGGTTATGCGGAAGGCTATGTGAATTTATTCAAATCGGCTATGGTGCGAGAAGTTGGGTGCACGTTTTCTCAGCTACACTTTATGTCGCGTGTTTCAGCTCAAGATCTGGGGTGGCCGCGAAGTCGACGAACCCATAGTAAGGAAGCAGAAGGAAGTCGTGCAGGTGCTGGAGCATACTTTTTGGGTGTCGGCTGACGAAGGCGAGTTTCGTTGTCGTGCATGTGGGGCCCGCGCTAGAACGCAAACTCATCTGGATAACCTTCGATGGGGGGTGCGCAGGCATTGTCGGCCTACGCGGTCGCAAGCAATACAAGCGGAGGTGTTCTTCGGCTCCGCACGAGGAGAGGCCTTCAGCCCATGGCGACAGGAGGCGGTCAACGAGGCGCTGGCGGCTGCCACTACGGTGCTGGGCGAGGATGGCGATCAATTCCATCAGATGTGCGACGCCACTGGGACACCGATGCTGCAGGCGCAGGCCCACTTCGCGGAGCTGGGTCATACTCTACAGTGGAGTGGTCAAGCTACTGTCTGTACAAGGTGCGCGCGGACAGCCAGCGACGTCACCAAGAAGGTGCTCAAGCTGCGTGACAAGTGTCCTGGGGCTGCCCAGTGCCGCGAGACAAGGCGCAGCCAGGTTAAGCGCATCCTGAGATTCGCCAAGAGTGTGTCGATGGAGTTCCATGGCAGGTTGCACGAAGTACTGTCGGCGCCACAAGGTGCTACGGTTGCTACTATGGGTCGGTCACTGATCTCATCCTCATATCAGGAAGGGGCCCTATATTATAAGATGCGGTGGCCGCGATTGGCGGTCTACCAGGCAGTGGGTGCATGGGCATACTTGGCCTACATTGAGCACCTCCTGCGCTCTCTCGTGGGCCTGGAGCGCCAGCAGTTCATGAGGGAGACCGAGTACAACCACTTCGTGCTCGGGTACTGAGAAGGCCGCGGCGCGCGGCCAAGGAGGAGCGGCGTCCGCCCGTGTTAGCGGGCGGCCGCCCAATGGCGAAAGGACAAAAGGAGAAGGAAGTGAGGAAGTGAGGAAGTGAGGAAGTGAGGAAGTGAGGAAGTGAGGAGGAGGAGGAGGAGGAGGAAGAAGGGAGGAGGAGGGAGGAAGGGAGGCAGTGCACGCGGGGCGCCGTGCCTGCAAAACGAGGACTCGACACCACAGCATGGCCCGGAAAGGCCTCGGCGGATGTCCGCGTTTCCGGGACCCGCCTCCCTCGTGGAGGCAGCGTGGCGGCGCCTCTGGGGTCCTGTCTCTGGGCCTCCTGCGGGCCTCGTGTGGGCCGGTGGGGCTCCCTTCGGGGCCTCCTGGGGCTGTCTGGGGGGCCTCTCGGGGCGGCGGCAGCTCGAACTGTCGGTGCGTTTGCCTCTCTGGGGTTCCGTTTCGGGCTGTCCTACAGGGCCCTCGGTCCCCTGTGCCTCGTGCCCTGTGGAGAGCACTGGGCACAGGGGCGCCCCACCCGCCCCGCGGGCATGGGAAGCTGGGGCGCCCACGCACCGGGCTCTTTTGCCGGCCAGGCGACTGGGTGCACGGTCGGACCGAGGCATAAGACCCGGACCCCCTCGGGTAGTGACAAAAATCTCGACGGGAGGGTTTCCTGAATCTTCGGCCTCCGGGGGCCCTTGCCGTGCCTCGGTCCCATGAGAAACGACTCAGGATGAGATGCCGGCCCCAGGGAGTGGATCGAGAACTCTGGGGGTCGACGTAATGAAGAATTCATGACGTCGGGGGTCTGGGTACGGTCGGACCGAGGCATCAGATCGAGATCGGTTCGGGGAGGGCGCCCTGCTGTTCTGGGAGAGGGTGCGCTCGAATGATCTTGTGGCTTGAGGCGTTCTGGCAGGCGGAGGAGTCCCACGTCCTTGCAGCATGTGTTTCTGCCCCAGGCCCGATCGTATGCGCCGAGCCCCTCCCAGCTGGGGCTGGCCCTCGTGTGTCCCCGCCTCCTGCCCTACGTCGAGTCCCCCCCCCCCTCGCACTCCGTTGCTGCCCCCTGCTGCGCAGGTGCACTCGCCAGCGTGCCCGGCGCGACCGAGAGCCCGCGGGGGATCCTGCTGGTGTCCTCGTACCCCCAGAAGGTCGGGGGCGGCAAAGAGTGGGGTGGTGACTGGGGGGGGGTATCGTGGCGGGGGCCATGATGTCTCCCCAGATTTCGGGGGGTCTCTTCCCATTTCATTAGGTCCCCGGTCGCCCCCCCATGGGCCGCGCACACGCCCCTGGCCATGACTTGCGCCCCCCCCCCCTCTTGGGCGCCCCCCCCTCTTGGCCGCCCCTGCGGAGGGGCAGCGGGTCCCGGCGCTGATCCTCGCGCGCGTGGAGCTCGGTGGGCCTGGCGGCCTCAGGCCTGGAGACCCAAGGGCGCTCTCGAGGGCGCGAGTTTTCCATCGCGCTTCGCGGACTCGGCGGCTCCGATTCCTCCTCGTTCTTTCTCCTCTTCTCCTCTGGGGGGCGCCGCGAGGGCGCGACGGGAGTCGCGCCTCGCGCAGCGCGACGCGCGGAGGTAGGCGCCCTGGAGGACTGACAAACTGCACACGCATAGAACTTTTGGAGCTCCGCGCAGATTTCGGGGGTTGGCGCTGGCTCCCCTGGCGCGCCCCGCGCGCCAGGGAGGGGGGCCCAGCGCCGATCCAATAACTCCGCGTGGAGCTCCGAAAGTTGCTGCGTATTCCGATGTGTTGTTTCTCTATCAGGGCGGGCCCCCCTGCCGACGCGAAGGCCTGCAGGGTCTGCGTGCGGTCCGCCTCGCACCTCGTGAACCGTGCGCTGACGCAGGCGCTGCTGGACGTGCTCTGCGAGGTGGCCGATCCGGTGTTAATGCCGTGAGCGCCCCGGGCGGCCCGAAAGCCTGCTGCTGCTCCTGATCCTCCCCCTTTCTCCCTCCGCCTCCTTTCGGGTCCCCGAGATTGCAGGGGACAGGCCGCTTGCTTGTTCTTTTCTTGTTGCACCTCGGGTAGTGGCAGTGATCAGTGGATCGCATGCGTTCCTTGTCTTATCTTACCTCCGCCTCCTCCGCTCCCCACGGCTGGAGTCGCTTCGAACTTCGAGTCAGAAAGCACCCCAGGAGAGGCCTGTGGAGTGGCGGTGCCGGTGCCCCTTTGTCCCCCCATGCCTGATTTCCACCAGGCACGCTGCGCTGCGCGACGCGGCTTGGAAAATGGGTCAATTTCGACCCCGGGAGGAGGAGGAGGAGGAGGAGGAGGAGGAGGAGGAGGAGGAGGAGGAGGAGGAGGAGGAGGAGGAGGAGGAGGAGGAGGAGGAGGAGGAGGAGGAGGAGGAGGAGGAGAGGGTGGAGGAGGAGGAGTCCAGGGAACAAGCTTGAACGGAGTTGCCCTCGTCGCCCTCTTGCCAGTTCTTCCCGGGGCCCAGGAACCCTTTTCGTCGGGGAGGGGCTCCGCGTTCCTTAAGTGTTTCGCAGCTTGCCTCAGGTTTTCCTTTTGTTTTCGATCGGAAATCGAAGTTCAACTTGTGGCAAAAAGGGGCCTCGTTCCTTTTTTGGGGTTCCTCAGGTCAAGGCCCCGACTCTATCTCCACCAGGTGCGTTGCCGGAAGCGTGGGAGAGAGCCCGAGGAGAGCTGGGGCTGATGGCCAGGATCTTGTAGAATGGGAGGGAATGGCGGTCGAGGGATGGGCGAGGGAAGAGGCAAGAGAGGCATGGCTTACGGCGCGAAGATCCGCGGGGGGCCCCCGCTTCCATACCGAACCGGCGTGCCCTCGCCACCATTTCGGGCGGCACGGGCGCCATTTCTCGGGGGTACCTTGCCAGAACCATGGATATCTGGCGCCCGTGCGCAGCAGATCCACGCATCCCTAATGCATGTCAGCGTGCGCCCCACTGCAGTGGGTGCCGGCGCCTCGACTCGAGTCTTGGCGTGGCTCCCGCGGCAGCTGGCGTGCGTTCCTCCGCTTCTGCCTCTGTCTGCTCCCCCGCTTCACGGGCCCTTCCGTTCGGGCGACCTATAGGCGCTGTGTGAGGCTCTAGGTCGGGGCATCTCCCCACTCGATCCACGCGGCCGCGCACAGGGAGCGTCAAAAGGCTCAGCCCGCCAGGAGGGTCCAGGGCTGTGGACGTGCGAGGGTCGGGAGTGGCCCGTGGGTCGCACGGCACGAGCGCGCCGCGCAGGGTTTTCCGCAGCCTGTCCCAGCCCTCGACACGATGTTCTAGCATCTTGCCGCTCGGCATGTGTTCAGGAGGAAAAGAAACACACAGACACAATTAATCTTGGATTCCCTAGAACATATGGGAAAACATGGGAAGTGGGCGGGAAGACAGAAGCCCAGAGAATATGGGAAAATGTGGGGGCACTTTTTATTTGTGTGTATTTCTCCGTGTGTCCTGGGGCCCCTTCAGGTGTGGGCGCCCGTTCGTGGTGTTGCTGCCCGCGCGCGCACGCGCTCGGCACACTGCGAGCGCCCGTCCTCGCACCTCGGGCCCGGCTGGTCTGCCTGGGGGCCAGCGAGTGCTTCTCGGTTTCGAGGAGCCCGCAATTCCACCGGGCCACGGCCTCTTGGCCCCACCACCTAACTCCCAGTTGGGAATAGTCAGGAGGGAAAAATAAAAACACAGACAAAAATGAATCGTCGATTTCCCAGAACATGTTGGAGCATATGGGAAGTGGGGGGGAAGACAAAAACCCAGAACATATTGAAGAAATATGGTGATGTGTTTTTATTTGTGTGTGTTTGTTTGTGTGTCCCAGGGCCCCTTCAAATAGGCCCCTCGAAACCCGAGTGGAGCAACCTGCATCCACATCCAGAGGGTTTCATCGGCCAGCGGGGCGGAGGCCCTGCCACTGGGGTGTGGATCGGAGCGCCGGTGCGCATCTTCTCGGTTCGTCCCCTGCTCATCGTCGGTCCGTCCCTTCGCTTCGTGGGCGCGCACCAGCCTCAATCAGGAGGGAAAAAACACACAGACACAATTAATCGTCGACTCCCAGGAAAATATGGGAATTGGGGGGGAAGACAAAAACCCAGAAAATATGAGAAAATATGGGGGATCCTTTTATTTGTGTCTATTTATTTGTGTGTCCCAGGGCCCCTTCACTCAAACCTGCGACGTCCTGATGCTTTGGTCCCCGGAAGTCCTGGCCGATTCCCCGGGGCCGGTTCTTCTCGTGGGCAGTTAGTGGACGGTCTCTCGTCGTGTTCGTCGTCTTTTCGTTGTTCCCAGACCCCCGTCGTAATGATTTTTTCATTACGTCGACCCCCACAGGTCCCGACCCTTTCCCCATGACCGGCTTTGCATCCTGAGTCGTTTTTTGACGCTCCCGAGGCCCGGTGAGGTGCCCCGGAGGCCAAAAATAATAAACAACCGCCCGTCGTGATTTTTTCATTACTCGAGGGGGTCTGGTTCCAGAGCTTCGCCGGCCCTGGCCGCGGCCCCACGGAGGAGTCAGGTCTGACGGCGCGGGTGCCCCGCGCGCCTCGCGCAGCCGCGCGGGATCGCGCAGCCGCGGGATGATCGCGCCTCGGCGTCCAGGCCGTGAGGACGCGGATGTGGATGAGATCGGCGCTCGTGCGGAGGGGGGGATCCAGACCCCCTCGAGTAATGAAAAAATCACGACGGGAGGGTTTTCCTTCATTTTCGGCCTCCGCGGGCCCTCACCGGGCCTCGGGAGCGTCAAAAAACGACTCAGGATGCCAAGCCGGTCATGGGGAAAGGGTCGGGACCTCTGGGGGTCGACGTAATGAAAAAATCACTACGTCGGGGGTCTGGTATCGGGGCCCCGAGCCCAGACCTGCCCGCGTCGTGCAGACATCAGAACGGCTGGGTTTTCGCAGTTTTTTCGGCCTCGGGGGCCCCTCCCTGGGCCGGATATATACAAGTGGCACGTGTGTGCCCATTCTCATACAACAAACTGAAGGGGCGTTTGAAGCAGGAGTGAAATGCAACATCGAAGTCGCACTCGAGCGCAAGTGGGGTTGCCACACCTTGCGATGTGTGTACCAGGGCCCCCAGGAAGCCTTAGGAGGCCCGACTTGGATACCAGAAGAGGCTCCAGGAGGCCCCAGGATTGTGTGTTGTGCGTGTGTGTGTGTGTGTGTGTGTGTGTGTGTGTGTGTGTGTGTTTGTGATGTATGCTTCGTGTGGTGCGTGCTTTTTGTGTGTTGTAGGTGTTGTGTGTGTGTGTTATGTTTGTCTAGCGTGTGATGTGTTGGGCGTGATTTGTGTCTCTGTGTGCATGTAGTTCTGAAGCCCCAGGAGGCCCCAGGAGGCCCCAGGCGGCCTCAGGAGGCCCCAGGAGACCCCAGGAGGCTTCAGGAGGCCCCAAGAGGCTCCAGGAGGCCGCAGGAGGCCCCAGGAGGCCCCAGGAGGTTTCAGGACACCCCCAGGAGGCTCCGAGGCGGGGTCTGGGGTGCCAGAAGGTTCAGAAGGCCCAGGAGGCCCCAGGAGGTTCCAGGAGGCCCCCAGGAGGCTCCGAGGCGGGGTCTGGGGCTCGATTTTGGAAGGATTTTTCAAGCGAAACCGCCATTCACTGAGAATCGGGGTCACAATTATTGAAATTACCATGTGTTTTTGAAGGTTTTATGTTTAAATGGTGAATTTTCCATGTGTTTTTGGACCCTGACGTCGCGATCTGCGTGAGGGGTGCCACCGATTTTCGGAATTTCGAGGATGTCCCGAGCGAAACGCCCAGAAAAAACGCGGACGCGTGCGCATTAATCGCCTCTGAGCTCTACTCCCTCGGAGAGGTGCGTATGAGAATATATATATATATATATATATATATATATATATATAACACGACTCGGGATGGAAAACCGGTCCCGGGGAAATGGTCGAAGACTTGCGGGGACCCGTATGGACAATATCAGGACGTCGCATGGCTGAGGACATGCTTGTCGCTCGCGCGGGGTTTGGGGCCTGGGCCTCCTCGAAGTGGACGCCGGGACCCCTCCTATTATGAAGGGCGCATTCTGGCCAGAGTCTCGAGGCGAACCCAGCCGTGGCGACAGGGAGGCGCAGAAAAAAAGGCCCGAGGGCTCGAAGCTCGATCCTCGATCCTCGATCCTCGAGCCTCTCCTCCTCTCCCTGTCCCGCGTGGTTGCACGCAGCTGCGCGACCGTGGTGGACCTCGTGCGAGCAAGACGTCTGGAGGGAGCAGCAACAAACGCACAGGCACAAATCATCTTCGGTTCCCGGGAAAAACAATGTCGGGAAATCGGGGAAGTGGAGGGGGAGACGATTTCCAGAAAGTGCGGAAATGTTGGACAGGTTTTGCAAAATCGCGCGAATCCTGGGATTCGTGCCCATTTCTTGCTGTGCCCCTTTGGCCCTCTCACTGATCTGCTGCGCAGCCAGACCCCTGGCGTCATGATTTTTCACAGAGTCGACCGCCAGAGGTCTCGACCCCTTCCCCAGGACCGGCCTTTCATCCCGAGTCGTTTTTTGACGGCCCCGAGGCCCGGGAAGGGCCCCCGGAGGCCGAAGATAGCCAAAAACCTCCCGCCGTGATTTTTGCATGGCCCGAGGGGAAATAGCGGGGAAGTCAAGGGGGAGACGAAGCTCCAGAAAATGTGGAAATCGTGGACAGGCATGGAAGAGCGTGCGAATCCTGCGATCTTCGGTCCATTTCCTCCCCACCCTCCCGTGTTGGGTCGTCTTGAATCGGGCAGAGTGGTCCTGAGCACAGTCGCCACATGCCTTGACAGGGTTGGGCACGTCACAGGGCAATGCCCTCGCGTTGGATCTCTGGGATTGCTTGACGCCCCGAGGTGGGGGGGTCTGGGCTGTGCGCGCCGCCACGGGCGAGGGGCAGCGAGGGAGCGAGGGCGAGGGAGCGAGGGCGAGGCGCCGCTCCCGGCACGTGCCGCGGGGCGCGCGCGCGCGATCCGGGGCGCGCGGTGGGTTGGGCTTGGCATCGCTCGGACGTGTGCATTTTTCCTTCGGCGAGTGCCATCGAGGAGCGTCCCTGATCATGTGGCGAAAAAGCCACGCCCGAAGCCGAAACAACAACAGGGAGTGGAGGTCCGAGCGATGGCGAGTGGGGGCGGAGAGGGGGGGCGCTTTGTGAGGCCGTGGGCTCTCTCTCTCTCTCTCTCTCTCTCTAGAGAGAGAGAGAGAGAGAGAGAAAAAGAGAGAGGTGCCGTGCAGCAGATCTCTCGGAGAGGGCCACCGAGGGGCACACCGAATTTAACCCCGTGGCGTGCCCAACCCTGCCATGCCTACAGCCGGGGCCCTGAAGAAGGAACCCTTTGGCTGGGGAGGGGCTCCGCGTTCCTTAAGTGTTTCACAGCTTGCCTTGGATTTTCCTTGGGTGTTCGATAGGAAACCGAAGTTCAACTTATGGAAAATAGGGGCCTCGTTCCTTATTTAGGGTTCCTTAGGTCAACGCCTCGACTGTAACCCCGTGGCGTGTCCAACCCTTTCATGCCTATACGACCACCCTTCGGGTGATGAGGAGGTTCGGGGGGGGAGGACCCAACGTCTCACTCGATCGGTCTCCCTATCGATCTAACTGTCGATCTCACTATCGGTCTCGCTCGATCGATCTCACGCGATCGATCTCACAATCGATCTCACTCGATCTATTTCATTCGATCGTTCGCACAATCGATCTGACTATCGATCTCACAATCGATCTCACTATCGATCTCACTATCGATATCACAATCGATCTCACATTCGGTCTCACTATCGATCTCACAATCGATATCACGATCGATCTCATAATCAACGGCATCATCATCAACATCATCGTCATCAACGTTATCAGCATCATCATCATCGGGACACCATCATCATCATCACCTCATCACAATCATCATCACATCATCATCATCATCGTCATCACCATCATCATCACCATCGGGACACCATCATCGTCACCATCATCATCATCATCATCATCATCATCATCGGATCACCATCATCACCATCATCGGAACACCACCATCACCATCATCTCATCACCTTCATGAACAACATCAACATGATCATCATCATCATCATCATCATCATCATCATCATCATCATCATCATCATCATCATCATCATCATCATCATCGGGCGGGACTACGCTTTGGACCATGCATGCCATCATGAATATCATGATCAGCAACAACTTCGAGCTCACGTCCTGGGACATGTCCCACCGTCGCCATCGGGTTCCATGCTCAAGCCTGTCGTCAGAAGGCTTACCGCGCGCTCGGCCACTCCGAGTGC